GTCCTTGTCCTTGTCCTTGTCCTTGTCCTTGTCCTTGTCCTTGTCCTTGTCCTTGTCCTTGTCCTTGTCCTTGTCCTTGTCCTTGTCCTTGTCCTCATCCACTGTGTCCTCTTCTGTGTCCTGTTGCTGCTGTTGCTTCTGTTGTTGGTGTTGATCCCCTCCCTGGTGAGCTTCTTGCTGGTGTTGCAGAGGAAGAAGCATCAGCACCAGTTGAGCAGCAGCAACAGATTTGTGTCCACATCCTCCAGCTAGCTGTTGTACCAGCTTCTCCTCAGCTTCTTCTTGTTGCTCATGATCAGCTTCTTCTAATGCTTCACAGGAAACCCTGAACAAACTGGGGGGGGGTGCTTGGACTTCTTGGACTTGTCCTATCCTGCGTCTGAGTTCTCCTCTGTGTGCTCCTCCCATTCCTACAGGTCTGTGTCCATATACTCCTGCTACTACTGGTCTACATCTGTGTCTGTGACAAGCTTCTTTGTCATCTTGTGCTGGTGATGGTGTCTTTGTGTTGCTGTTTGCTTGTTGATGTTTGCTTGTTGCTGTTTGCTTGTTGCTTGTAAGCCAAACTTTTCTTTTGTACCTCAACCACAATGTGTTGTATTGTTGCACTGCATGCATGTTTTCAATGGTTGAGAATGCAAGTCACAAGCTACTGAGTATGAGTAGTGGTTAAAGCCTCAATACCATTTTTCTATGTATTTTGAACACAAATAAAAAAATACAGCAGTTGAAAAGACAGTAGTACACTCACACCTATAGGGGTATTTAGGGGGTAGTAGGCCTATGTGGTAGTGTTTTTTGGTTGCATGGATCCAATAATCAGAATGCAATTTCAGTTGCATTTTGCAAGTACCATGCCAGAACCATACCAGAACCATACTTACTACCATGCAATGTGGTGTAGAGTACTAGTACACCTCCTAAAACAACAAGTAAGACGATTACCTTAATTGAGGCATTGGGAACATTAAGAATTTAACATTCTGAATGTTTGGTTTAACATACTGAATGTTAGTAATTTAACTTTCAGAACCTTAGTTTATCCCACCATTAGGCCTATGTAGATCCTAGTATATTCCACATTCTTCATTTGGTAGCACACTACTACTAGTAGCATCATAAAGCAATAATTTTGGTCTTGTTTCCTACTACTAAAAAAGAGGAAGGAGAGACGCCTCTCCTGCTAATATTCAGAATGTTACTAAGCAAAGCATTCAGGACATTAAATTAAAGCAAGAAAAAACACGGTACTCATTTTTACACAGCCTTCCCTGCTAACATTTGGAAAGTTAAATTAAAGTTCCCAATGCCTCCATTAAAGTAACAATTTCAATTGTTTTATGTGTTTAAGGTAAAATTAACGACAATATGCCATAGTATGAGTGCGGCTCGGATTATCATGGAAGTCAAATAGTAGAATAGTAGAATAAAAAAGTACAAAAATAGTTGTTATTTGACTGGAATTGTCCTTCTGGAATAAGGGAGTTTGAGGGTCAGAAAAATGTAAAAACACGGTATCAACAAATTTTGGTGTAGAGCATGTACTAGGTTGAAGGTGATTTTTTTCTGTAAAAATAAAGTCACGGAAATGAGATGTTGGTGGCACGTTATGAGTTACTTCGAGGTACTTCGTATGAGTTTGCTGACATGCTAGTATGAAAGATTGTACGGTACACACACAACTTTCGACTTCCCATGGCTGTGCACCGCAAAAGACCTAGTCGAAGTACTGCGGGAACAGTACCCCACGTAGCTTGTACCTGCAGGATCAGAGAGTTCCACAAGAACTTTTCTCAAGAACTTTCATGAGCTAACTTGAGTGATTTGCACTTCACTCCATGTGACACAAATTCCGAACCACAGGTATAGTACTGTATTTTCATTTTGAAAAAAGTATATCACAGATAGAATCATTAGCTGCAAGAGCAACTTGCGCAGATGTCAAAGCATGCTGACACCCATGTCGATGTCGACAACGATCAAGAGAAAGATAGCGACGATACAGACATTGGAAACAGCCCGAACGCGCGTCGGAGTCTTTCTCAAAGGTACAATGACCGTTGCTTGAGTTGCAAAATGCTTCTAGGCATTGTACCGTTTGTAGTATTGGCAATTGTATCGCCGGTGGACGAGGAACTGTCTGTTTGGCTTGCCCTGGCTTTATCTCTTTCTCTTAACTTGCGTTTACTCTACCGTGGATGTTACGATCCAAAATACCCGAAGTGGTACTGGATGGAAATGGCGCTTTGCCTTAGCCTCCTTGGAATTGGCATCTTCAATGGTATCACGGGGGTTGCAGTTTCCCTCCTCCAAATCATCCCTTCCACCGCCATGTTTCTTGCGATCCCTATTTCTATGATGTTCGAAGATCCCTTTTTGTATCGTGAGTTGGCTCCAACCGTGACACCAGACGTTTCATCTAGCCCTGGTTTTATGCAACTGTGTCAATACCTCTCCGCATATTGGATGTTTGTCATGTTTTTGCAATCAGTGTCTATGTGGGTCAGTTTATTGTTTCTTACTTCTTTGACATCGGGCGAGCCTTCGGAACCCATCCCGTACCTTATTCTATCCGCTGTGCTTCCTATTGGTTTCATCATTCTTGGCTTCCTTACGACGAAACCTCTGGCCGATTATCTGAAATCAAAGGGCGAGGAGAAGGATGGTGACGAAGAGAACGGTGATGTCACCTGTGATGTCTAATTTTGGCTCGAACCGGAAGCAAAACAAGAAAGATTGTCATCCGCTTTAGATACTCAGCGGCATGATCGATTGGAAATGTACTAAGGCTAGTGTACACTGGAAGTTTGAGACAAAGTCTTGAATGCATCACTATCAAATAGCAATACTAAAATTCTTTATAAGATACGTGCATTCTTTATAAGGTACCGGCACGTGTATTTATTCATAAATGGATTGAATGTTACTTGAGTTTCTTGTTTTATTGTAACCATTGGCATTTTTTCACGTGTAAAAATGCAGATGATCTACTCTTGATTGCGAATCAGAGAGCTAGTGGCACCTGGTCCCATTCGTCCTACCGATAAAAATATGACTTGGTATTTCTACCGAAAAACAGAGTGTTTGGATCGTGAAGAAGAACAGCATGAGAAGCTTCATCAAATATCGATAGTCGTAATTTGTGTTTATTTTTTATTCATTTATTTTTTTCCTGTTTAAAATCCAAAGTCGCCGTCGTCAAAACCATATTCGCTGCCATCATCGGAATCGTCATCGGAGTCATCCCCGCCGACACCATGGTCCATATTAGCGGCTTCCTCCAGAGAATTCAGTTCCGCCAAATCGACCTTCCACCGAAGAGTACCGCCAATTCCACCGAAGCCTTTCACGAACTGCGTCCCCTCGGCGGACCGATCCGTAATAAACTCGAGGTTGCACCCGTAATCCTTGTAGTTTTCAGCAAACCATTCCACCAAGGGCTCCTTGTCGATTGTTTCGAGTTCAGCCCCCGTCTCTGCGTCTCGGAAGAACTTGTCGTCGCCCTCCTGTTCCTTCGTAAGATGAAGAACTTTTTCTTCTTGTGTTTGGATGTTTCGTACCTTGTATCGCTGGATCTCAAGGTTGTCCCAGATTATCAGGTCTTCCACAGCACCCATCTCGAGTCCCCTTAGGGTGTCATCCACCATAAAACAATACTGTCCCGTGTCCTGGGCAATCTGGTCAAAATATTTCTGGAGGAGTTTCTTCTCCTTCATCAGCTTGACGTTGGCGAGAGAATCAGCGGAGAGCTCGATTGCCTGGTTGAATCCATTCTCTCCTCCATAACTTACGTCAACCATCTTAACAACGATTTTGTGGAGACGCTGATCGAAAAGGTCGGATCGCATCAGCTCGCTTTTGAAGTCGGCCGAACCGGCAAGAACAATACCCTGTACGTTTGGTTTTTGTCCATCTGGCACAAACAGTTGGGTGGCGAGTTCGGCGACCTTGCGGACGTAGTTGTGTCGCTTTTCCAAACGCAATCGAGCAAAACGAAGGGCGGATTGACCACCACGACCGTGCTTCTTGGGGAGATCGACCGAGAACTTGTGGAGAATCTCTCGGCTGGATCCCTGGACGGTTCCGTAGAGACATCCGTTACCATCCATGATGATAAATCCAAAGGCCTCATCGTCAATAAGCAACTCGTTGAGATCCTCCGTGTGGAACTTGTTGTCACACAAATACAACGACGTATTAATGGACCGGAAGGGTTCAAAATCAATGTTTACCTTGCGTTCCTTTCCGTCTTCCGTGATCACGGTTCCGCAGTACATAACTAGTCCGTTTGGTGGACACTTGTTGTACAACTTCAATCGTTGCTGTGTCGAGGTAATGGCACTGAGCACAGACAAACGATTGACTCGACTCTTAATATTGGATGCGGTTCCGTATTCGTCACTCAGCATTTTGTTGACCCGAGAAATCTGATCACCAGGGGGGATGATCAGGGAAATCATTGATGTACCGTTTCCGCGAGCGGCTTCCAGATTCTTGATAAGTTTCTTCACCTTGAAGATCTCAATCTGTTTGTCCATCTCCTCTTGTGTTTTTTCGTCCTGACCCATCTTGAATAATTCTTAATATGTCAACGTATATTGTATCGGGATGCAATTTATTTTGTGTGTCTGTATTTCCCTGTGGAGAAGAAAATAGAGAGTAAGATGATTGTTATCTGTTCCGATAGATGGCTTCGGCTTTGGCTTTTCCTTCTATACAACAGTGTTCTGTACGAGCTGGTTGAGAACAGCAGTCGCCTGGTTCTTATCGAAACAGAAGGAGATGAATATTGTCGATGCCGTGAGGAATCGAGATAGGAGATCACGACTGCGAGTTTGTTGCTGTGTTACGCCTGTCAACAATGGTATTCCTCAGCTTACGATTACGTACTTTACGAGAACAAGTACGAGCACAAATTGCACAGAACGCTACGATCGTTTTGTCGAGTACAGAATGAATTGTCTTTTTTTTACTACCTTTTGACGTAAGGTGATGTACATAGACCACATTACGAATTACTGTACGAAGAACGACGACAAAATTCACAGACGTCCAATGAATTGACAAACACGTCGCGTGTACCCCTAGCTACTAGCATTGGCCGAGCATGCGGTTCAATCAGAAGGGGAGGCTGCCGCTACTCCTCGTCAGAATGGGTTATGAGCGTAGTCGTAGTTGTGCGGGTCGTGAAACAACAGTTTGACTCGACAGACCCCTGAGACTGGAACCATGTTGATTTCGATGTTTTTCGAAAAATTTAACTTTTTCCCGTCTCCGCCCAAATCGTGCATTTTTTGGAATTTTTTTGGAGTTTCCATGATTTTCACTTGTGTAGACTGCAGTACAAATC